CATTTTTATTTAATTCCTTTATACTTTCGAGCGAGAAAAATAAATAAATTATACGAAAACGAATACGGAGTATCTTTACCGATTGTCGGTTCTAGCCTCGGCCGGATTCAGTTACACCGACGCGATGAAGAACAAAAACGTCGTGTGGAACGAGGCCACGTTGGATGAATATTTACGTTTACCGAAAAATTTTATCCCCGGCACGAGGATGGTGTTCGCCGGTATTAAAAAAGCTGACGAGCGTAAGGACGTGATCGCTTATTTAGCAACGTTGAAGTGAACATTTTTGTAAAATTGTCTTATATCTTGTTGTGATATAACCTGTACAGTAGTGTGTTCCGAAACAACGTGTATAATTAATAGCAGTTGCAAAGTGAATAATAAATCGAGAAAATTTTAAAATCTACTCTTTAACGCGTATATTTTTATATTATTTTAACATATTGTTCCAACTTTGTTCGAAAAATCATGAAGCTGGATCAACGCGTTAATAAATACTTTATATAATTAAATTATAATTAAATTACACTTTATATAATTAAAATTGGCCCTGTTTCGAGGAATATACCAAAGTTGTTAAACGAAGTGATTATTTATCAACCGCGTACGATTACAAGAATTCGAAAAAAATAAAATTCTCCTTTAATCATCACGACGATGAAATTTACGGAAGATGGATAGATTGCACAAAGTTAATCATCTTACATTTGCCTGGCAATTCAATTTAATTAATTTCATCGTTATCATTTTGATCCTTTTTCTTTTTCTCGAAATAATTTTTTATATTTTTATCTCGATGTGCATAATCTCGAAGAAAATTTCTGCAAGGGGATAGGAACCCTGAAATACGTGCGATATTTTTATTATAATTTTTTAAAATTCTATTTTTATTCCGTTGAAAATATTTTTCGTACTCTGATTTAAAATCCTTTTTTCGATCCTTTTTTTCGAAATAATTTTTTATGCCTCGATGCATAAAATAATCTCGATGAATTTCAAGAAAATTTCTGCAGGGGAGTTTTGAAATTTTTAAAATTTTATTTTTATTATTGTTAAAATTTTCTATTACTTTTTCTTTTTCTCGAAATAATATCTCGATGAATTTCAAAGAAATTTCTACAAGAGGATGAGATCCGTGCGATATTTTTATTAAAATTTTTAAAATTCTATTTTTATTCCGTTGCAAATATTTTTCGTACCATAATTTTAAAATCTTCTCTTTTCTCGAAATAATTTTTTATACCTCGATGCGCATAATTTCCGATGAATTTCAAGAAAATTTCTGCAAGAAGTGTCCTGAAATATTTTTATTCACGTTGTTAAATGTGTTTTTCCAATCGTATCAAAATTCAATAAGATACAAATATACCTTCGTGCAATAATACACTTGGACGGTTACAAAAAAAAAAAAAAACGAATAACCGGTGGATCGTTAATGTGGAAAGCGAGAGCACTTGCGGAAATGACGTAGCAGCAACGCTTCACCCACCCCCTACGTGGAACGTGTCCGGAAATCGAGGATAACGGAAAAAAAAAAAAAGAGAAAGAGAGGGTTGAACGGACGGAGAAAATGAGAAGGAGAACTCGCCCTCGTCGAGTGGTTTAGGTTAGGTAGCGGGACCAATTTCACGAAAATTACGAAATTATCGATGTGTGGACGTGAAATCGACCACCCCTTTTATTATTGCTACCGGTTTTGCGCACACTTCCTGCGCCAGCCACGCATCGAAGTATAATAAATAAAATTAGTTTCCGAATTATCGAGCCCGATCGATCCATTTCTGGGAATGGAACCGTTACAGAGTGGTGGATAAACCGTGAGTAAACAAGTTGTATAAATAATAAAATGTATTTTAAATATTTCGTAAAAAAAATTGTTACAGCGGATACAAATCGAAAGAAAAATGTGGCTGCCGTTTGGGAATGGGAATTTGTCGCGTGTTGTATTGTATAATAATTTAATAATATACGTAGCGAATTGAAAAATGTCTGTAATCGCTGAGGATTAGAAGAAACTTTCTGCTTTATGTTAAAAAAAAAAAAAAATCTTGCCTTCGAAAGTTGATTCATCAATTTACATATATATATGTATATATATATTATCATACTTGAAATTCCAAAAATTGGAATTTCAATTTTTCCTCAATTGACCTTTCTTTCGAGACAGTTCACAATTGTAATTACAAATCAAGGCACTTGTATTTACAAAACAATATTTCTGTAATCGTGTCGCGGAATAATTTAAGATTGGAAACCTCCTCCCCTCTCCTTCTATACAACTGGACGAACGTGTATTGTGCGTTTTACAATTAAATAGGGAGAACTAATTGTTACATCGTAATTAACTTATGTTCTCGTTATACAATTAAATTAATAGAAATAATCAAGTACTTCAGGCTTATGAAAAAATTTACAAATCTCCATTCTTCTCATCTCGAGGATAGAATTACGCTTAACTTATATAATCGTGTATTTTTTGATTCAAATAAAACTTGTTTCTTGCTTCTTCAAATTGAGAATAAGAAAAAATTGTACAATAATTCTCGTTTGAATTTTTCATTTTTTTTTTTCTTAATGCATACCGAGACCGAGACTTATACAATAATTAATTAATTAATCAATTAATTAAATAATATCGTGGGAATAATATTTTCCTTCGTTGGCACGCAAAAATTATTCTTTTCCATTTCAATTTTTGAAATGGAAAAAGCGTATTGCCTTACGTGATTCTTAACATTATAATGGACGACATTGTACGATATAAATAGTAAAAATGTTTCTTAAATAGTCGTTAAAAAGTATAAAGTAGAAAAAATAGTTTCATCGGTTTAACACAATTCATTTCGAATCTTACTTACTTAAGGCACTTTCCTATGTACATATTTCTTTGATTTATCAATATTATTTTCTATCGATTTTAATCTAATACCGATAATACCAAGATCGATTGTTACATCCTGAAACTGTATCACTTTTCTTTTTTTTTTTTTCTTTTTTTTTTTAGTAGAGAAATTTATTGCTTGCTTAATTTCAAGTTTTTTTTAAATTTTAACAAGAATCTTGAATTTTTTAGAATTATAAACACCGCCTCTGGTTCGTTTGATTATATTTCTTGAAATTCTAACGTAACAACAAGTACTCCTCCTATACGAATAACATGGATAACATTGGATAAAATTAATTCGTCTACCGTTTATATTTTAACATACGTACAAAATTACTCGTTCGTAAATATGTTAAAATCTTATTAAACAGCGACTTGGTGCTTGAAATCGATCAAAATTTTTAATGTCGATTTAAATCGAATCGTTGCCAAGGCGGAATTCTCCTCTCAAATGATATTTAATCGAAGACAGCTTCGCGTGTATACAATTTTTAATTTTATACTCACATTCACATTTAAGATTTAAAAAAACGTTAGACGTAAGAAGGTCTTGCTTCTCTGTGAGAAAGTCGCATTTTTAAGGCACAATTGTAAAAAATTTTGCAATCGAATTACATCCTATAGTATCCGTGGAGCAAGTGTAAAAACCGAAGGCAGTGCCATCTTGTGTGAAAGTACTTTGCGCGGTAAGTACTGATTGTCCGTTAACCTCAAACTGCCACTTGAGAAATTTCGTTCCGAAACGACTCTTCGTTCCGCGGTATCCGAGTTTCCGCGACGAATCTGCAACAAAAAATACAGGAGAAACGTAAATTCGACGACGATATTTATCCCTCCGTTCGAACCCCTCGAAATTCTCCTCCGTGTGATTTATTTCGGATAAACATTATTTCCGCGTATTCTATCCCCGAGGAATTCTTCCGAGGGAAGGAAGAGAATTTCTGTATGACCCACCTGGCCATTGTACCTCATCCACCATCGATCAGGGAAGATCCTTATTTACCTGGATCAGTAAGAATTAAGCGCGGAAACGGACCCACCGATCTTACAGACATCCCGGATATATAACCTCAAAGATCGTGGGAAAAGAATATATATATATATATGGTAAGTATACGTAAAATCACGAAAGTTTTTGTACCATTCGACGACAATTCAATTTGATTTCTTTCATTCAGAATTTACGGTTTTGAGATTTCAAGAAAAGTGGTTTTTATACGTTGAAATGGTAATTTCCTGCTGGCAAATTGTACATGTATAATAAACAAAGAAATATGTGATGGTAGTATATTGTACGATGATGTATAAATTTATGCAAAATATGTAATAAGCTTATCGGGACAAATTTTTAGTAAAAATTAATTTAATTAATAACGTTTCTTTTTTATTTGAAAGTTTCACGAGCTTGCATTTCACGAAATTAAATAAATTCAATTATGAGCGTAAAGAGGTAGTCCTTGGAACGTATGGCTTCTAGATAAAACGAAAAATACGAGAAAAGCGTGGTTCTGTAAGGACATTCGTTTATCGTTTATCAGAGCGTGACTGGAAATCGCTTTTAAGAGCAACATTTTAAAACGTTGAACCACCAAGAGAAACTGGTCTTCGGATGATAAAGCGTCTGGAATTTTTCTTTTATTTTATCAGGCACTAAATTTTATCTGTGTGTGTGTCGCACAGAATCTGGAAATCGACGATTCGAGGAGATGCTCGATATATTTCGAACCTAATTAAAGTATCTATTTCGTTTATTTCACATTTCTATAAAAATGTATTTTCTAAACGATCCAAATCTATTTTCGAAAGTAAAGAACACATGCTCGACTTGCATGTATTATATATGTATTAGAGTCATAAAGATAATTTGCAAAAAAAAAAAAAACTGGGATTTTATTTTTGGCGGAAAAGGTTTTTTAATCTTTTAAAACAGTATAATCGGTTTGAAACCGTCGCCGATACGAGCGCCGTCGCATTGTCATGCTGGTAATGTTTATTGATAAGATACACAACATGCGGGTTACCAGCATGACAGACCTTTAAATTCTTTTGTTCCTCGCGAACCAAGTCGAAGGAGAAGAACAGCGGACCTGCATGAACCTTGCAACCATTTCGTTTTACGACGCAGTTTAATTCTTTTAAAGGAGGAAAGGGGAGGAGGAGAAGAAGGAGAAGGAAAAAACACGAGCATCTTTCGCGCGGAGTTGAAGCAAAAAAAGAAAACAGTTTCGTCATTTTAGACCGAATTCGTCGAGCTCACGCTTATCTTTGTAAACACGCGAAAGGAATAAAAATTGAAACGAGAAGCGACGCGTAACGCATAAAAATTAATTAACCGCGTCATTGTCCAACGGTGAAACTTAATCGTGTATATTTTTACTTACGGTGTGAAAAATTGAACACGTTCTGCGATTTCGCTACACTTTCCACCGAGTACATTTGTAACCACGATGTAAACGTAATCACGCGTAGTGTGTCACGCGTCTCGAAGAATAATTATCTCGATTTAACAAGCGGGGTTTAAGATGCTACTTTTTTTTTACCTTTAGAAATTACATCGAACCTGCTACTTTTCTCGCCGTAGAAGAAAAATAACAATGTCAAAGCAGGCAGTTTCGTCCAGTGCACGGAGGAAAAGCACCAACGCTCGTTTTCGAAACATTCTAAAACATTCTACATCCGTGAAAATCGCACTCCGCGCGCACTTTGCGTAAAACGCGCGTGTATCGGGCCTTAAGGGCCGTTTCCAGGGACCGAAAGAAGGTCGATGGGCTGGCGTGGAACGGGACGAACGATATCAACGTGACCAACGGGAGCCAAGGAAGGAATTTATTAAATTAATTTGCCGCGGCGACGCATCTCGTAAATTTCGTAGATGACCTCACTTTATAATTGTCGAGAATTACTCGGCCGCTCTCGTTCATGTTCGGAGCTCGCGTGCGACAGACCTTTTTACTCCCCTCTGAGGGGAGTTTCGCGCGTTTTATCTGCCACTTTCTTCGAGCAGAGGAATTACACCGCGCGGGGCGCGGTATTCGGGAATTTCTCGTCGCTTCGCCTCCCCCCTCCCTCCCTCCCTCCCCCGGTTCTCGCTTCGAGGATCGTAAAAACGAGAAAAAAAAGGAGGGTGGGGGGCGGAAGGGGATCGCTCGGTTCGCCAGAAGCGAAACATCGTTTTAATTTGTGTGATTGACGCACGCGGGAGAATTCGTTTTAAGGCCAAGGTAATTGAACGGGGCGAGCAAGGAAAAAAAGTGGGAGGGAGGGGGGGGGCAAGAAGGCAAACACGGTTAATGGTTCGTTTTAAAAGGTGAACCGTATCGAAAAGGCTACGATCAGGGGGAGGAGGGAGGGAGGGAGGGGGGCCGAAATGAATTGAAAATTAAATTGCGTGCAATTTTGTGAAAGTTAACGCGTTGCTGTTTTGCCGAAACTTGCGAAAATTTCGAAAAGATCCTCGAGATACGATAACGAAAGAATGTGTCGAAAACACGATCGATCATTATCTTGGTTGGATGACGTGTAGGTGATTTTGCAAGTTGAAAAGGAAAAATCGAAGAAAACGAGATGCGAGCACGCACAAATGTATTATTTGACATATGGTAGTCGTTCCAGAGAAGCTTCTTAATAATCCAAGTGCCATTACCCATATGGCTTTGAAATTCGAGTGTTTCCACTCTTTAACTCAAGTTCGATCCAACCTTATATTTGAGACCACTTTTAGCCTCTTATGTATAATGGATAATAAAAGGAGAGAATGAGGAAATCGAACGAAAAATTTTCTATCTATCTATCTATCTATCGTCCCGAATTCGGATTTTACTTTTTAAGTCGTTTCCTGTATTCTTTTCCCTTGTACACGACAACTGTTTCCTTGCCGCCCATATGTTAAAAATACGAAAAACTTATGTCGCCTTATGGCCGTGTCCCGAGTGCCGATACGTGCACGTGTATCAAACATAATATCTTACTTACTACTGTATGGCACGTGGGTTACGAATGTTTCCAAGGAAATCATGATTTCTATTTATAACTCGACGACTGCGCGCGCCCAACCGATCTTTTCTTTTTCTTCTTTTTGTTTTTTCTTCTCTCGATTTCTGCATCGCGTCTTCGTCGACCTCTACTCCGTTCCAAGGGCGAAAATATCGTTGAAAAAGTTGTAAGTTTTCACGTTCCG